CACTGTCTTGTTTTTTTCCTTCTCCTCAGAAAAGTCTAGCACATTTCTGCTATGTCCCGTTCCTTGTGGTCTGCATCTGTACTGCACTCTACGTTGGGTTATTCCTTCCCGAGACAAAGGGAAAGTCCTTCCTGGAAATCTCAGAGGAGTTCAAGAAACGGAACTTCAAATCTCAGACCCATGCGGTTTTTTATAAAGGCCCTGAAGAGATCAAATGCACCATGTTGTAGCAGAAGACAGGAAGATGGTATCTGGGTGAAATTCAGCAATGGCTGTGTTCTCTTGCAGGGACACAAAGAGAGAAGTAGAGTTAGGGACAATGTATTACTCTTAGGTTCTTAAGTTCACCTTGAAAAGATATACTTGAACTGATAAATACCAACAAAAGTTTAATAATCTGTTTTCAGTTTTTAGTGCTAAGTAACACATGCATCAAACACCACCATGCAATGCTGTAGCAAATTTCTTCTGAATTTCTTCTATATTTCTCCTCCATCCAAACAGCGAGTTCCATCTCAGAAGTCTTTCTTTCCTTGCCCCTGAATCTGGGCTCTCTAACACAGAAAATAATACGATTAAGTTCTGTTTTCAGACACCAGATGAAATTCTCAGTACCTTGTCTTGGTGTTCCCGTTTCTGTTATTAAGTGATTTCAAATAGACCCCTACTTGTTGAGCAATAGTGAGCAGTTAATTATTTTCAGCTATAAAAACATGTGACAGATGGATTAGGAAGAAAGCTTCTAGTACTTGCTAAGTGGCTTATTATACAACTGACTTTTGGGCATTGTTTTGCAGACTACTTATTCTGGACTGGTTTTCTTCATGGCTTGTTTGTTTTCTTCTAGATCTATATTGTAAAGCACAAGTAATTCTCTGTTTCAGTTTGTACTGCTGTCACGGACACTGCAGTACAAACTGAAATGTATCGTGTCGGGTTTTACACCTGCACTCTGCTAAGAGGGTGGTGAGGAGCTCTTATGGCAGCAGCTTATTTTGGATGTGGAAATTTAGATGACAGCAGAACATTCTTTGCAGCATGTTCTTGTTGTGTCCATAGAGCATATTGGAAAAGACCCAGGTGTGATACTGATTCTTTTTAGCTAACCTAGTACAGAACGAGGCAACATTCCTCATTTAATATTGCCTTTCACAGGCATTGGGTTGACTGGTGAAGTTTCTTCCAGTTTCTTTTCAAAATCATAATAATTCTTTTGACTATGTTTGTATGAAAGTCACAGGACTGTTGGTGGTTGCAGCAAAGAAGAGCACACATATTTTCAAAATAAGCAGTTAAAGTTTCTTTCAGTATATTTTTTAACCCCATTTGAAAAAAAAATACAGTAAGAAAACTGTAAACATTTCTGGAGTGTATTAATGCCATGCTGGGCATGAGTGGAGCAGGAGATCTATTTCTCAGAAGAGAAGTCTGCAAGAACTATCTTTTACTACCTAAGGTTTATAACATAGGAAAAATAAAACTAAACTTTTGTTCATTTGTGGTTGCTGCTATTTTAGAAGTCATTTGTATACGGCCATGGGCAAGAGCAGGTATCTGTGCTCTTGGACAACACTGAGATCTTGAAATCCACAGGATTTTGAGACAAGACAATCAAAAGCAGGACTCCATGCAGCTGGGAACTGCAGAGATACTTTTCACGCCTGTAGTTTGGAGAGAGCAGTGAGGGGCAGATGGAAAGAGTAAAACACACAGTCAAAGCAAAAAGTGCTGGTACCATCATGATGGTAACAAAGTATTCTGTCATTCCTTTGGTGAGGATCAGAGAAAGGATGGGAGACAGAAGTGAAGCAAAGAAGACAAGGCAGTAAAGATGCAGGCTAGGAAGCAGGGAATGGACTGAAGAGACTGCTTGGGCAGAGGGAGAGGCCTGGTACAAATTGCCAGGACGTACAGGTCAGAGAAGAATTGGTTAAAACTGGGAGAAGTCCTCCAATGTCCAGAGGTCCTCACCTCAGCCACCTTTGTGGCTACTCCCCTGAGTCAGTATTGTTGTGCCTTTCCCCAGAGCCCTGGGAGGACGGAGGCTGTCTGCACCTGACAGTATGAAACACGCCTGTTCAGAAATGATACACATTTACCTCCTGAGTTTCAGAGCCAGTCCTGTGAGTACATGTGTCAGAAAACACTAATTCCAACTTCCAGCATTCTTCCTCACTGTGGCCTGAAATCAGGTGTCTTCAGACTGATTAAGCAAAGACAAACAGTGGTTACATTTTAATTGGTCTAATTGGTTACATTTTAATTGCAGCATTTAACAAGTTGGTTAATTGTTACTGAATTAAAACACTTTCAACTGAAAAAATATATGACACTTGTTTAGGTCAATTTTTTTATCATGTGAAGTGTTGGGCACAAATATATCTTGAAAAGTGATCCTCAGAGACTTATAGTTCGTATTACGGTTTACAAACCAAATCACCATGCACTGTTGGATTGATTAATAACCATCAACACCAGAGAAAAAATAGTTACTGCTGCTTTCCTCAAACAATGCTCCTCTGCACAAGCCACCTCTCACTTCCACACAGCTCAGTCCCTGTCTATCCAGTTGGGATTCTTCCAGACACCAAAGACACGAAGCATCCTAGCCTGGGGAACTGCCAAGTGCAGTGGCTCACCAGGAGAAGGAATTTCCCCCTAAGCTGCTTGAATACCTTGTAAAAGCCTTTTAACAGAACCATCCTGGAGACTGCTAGATAAAGGGGGCCTTTGAGAATTACGGATAAAAGTAAAGATGTAATTTATTTGTTTTACAGTCAGGATTTAAAACTTACATTCAACTTTCCTAGCATCTACCATATATTACAGGGACACAGACTTGTCAAGCAATGATCATTACTCTTAAAGTGTCAACTGAACCCATAATTCAAGAGTTGAATGCACAGACTTAGTCAGGCTTGGTCAAGGCAGGCTTCAGAAGGCTTTGCTGTATCGAGGCTCAAAGTAGCGGTCATGAACTTTTCCTTTAAATTTGATAACTGATTACCCAGCCTACAACTTGGGGAGTCCAAGCCAGTCTGCTCTAGTGTGCGCCAGTCCATGGACTTTGGCTTCCATCAGTGTCTTTTTTATTGTCCTTTACTCATCTCATGCAGCTATTATTGTCTGTCAGCTGCTGCTGGAGCTTCTCTTCCTTGGTGACCTGGCATAAATGCACAGCTCACCGAAATTATCCACTGTTTCATCAGTAACCAATGCAATAATGAAAAGCCAAATAGCAAGAACTTCATGACAAACCAAAAGGAGTGTAAACACTGAGAAAGAATGAAATGACGTGTTGAAATACTATCTCAGGCTCCTCTTTCTCTATATATAGAGTGACTTTTTCCAAAGTAACAAAAGAAAGCATCAGGAAAGACCTAGCCTGCAAGCTGAGATGACTACCTTTGCAGGCAAGTTGGTATAAGTTTCTCTTTTTTTTTTCCCCAAACAGAATCTTTGCAGTACATATTTTTTCCTTTCTGCTATTTTAAAATACCTGTTGTATAAATTAAGTATAGAAAGAAAAGTAAATCTGAATCAGATGTCATTAAAATAATAGTATGAGGTCGTATCTGGGAGATTTCAAATATCTTGCAGGGATTTATTTTTAAAAAGCAAAGAAAACTGGATTTAAGAGAACACTTATATTTAATGTCTGATACATAACAGAGGAAGACAAACCAAGGGAGTTCAGAGCAGAGCAATGAAAAAAAGCTGCACGATTTAGTAGATGGAGGAGGGCTGAAAGACTGGAAGAATACTCCACAATAAAAGAGTTATGAATAACAAAGTATCTGAAAGATGTATACACCAAACGATGGAAAACAATCCTTTTCAGTCAAGGATCTATGGGAACAGATACCCGGAAAAGACAAAACAAAGATGTTTTTAAAAAGAGATTTTAGGATGAATATTAGGTTAAAAAAAATCTTCCTGAATTTAGAATCTATTAGACTGGAAAAGTGACCCAAGAAATGCAACAGAAAAATGAAGCAATGGTGTTATAGTACAGAATGGAGATGAGACTAAGAAATTTGCTACAGGTGTGATTGATATAAAATTTGCACTTAGCATAAGGCTTACTGATTTTCTTGCTGATTTGAGTTTTGTGCTGATGTGAGGCCATTTTTGTAGCATGAAGGATAGTGGGGATGTCTAGGAGTAGAGAATGTGAATCTCATTTCTTCCTACTGTTTTAACAAACAGGAGATTTCTGTCATTTAATATATGAATGTGCCAAACACCAAAGTTATTCAGAGCTGACTCCTTTGAAGCCAACAATGTTGCAACATGCATTCATCTGATTAGAAATCAGCTCGTAAATGTTTGCAGTAATTGTTCAGCATTGCCTTTGAATACAATCTGTTCTAGAGATAGAAATGCAGCATCATGCCATCATTGCTGGACAGAGTATCACTAGCACACTCAGTATCAGTGGGAGTGGGAGGGATGGGGTATGCATATATTGCAGTACTGTTTTGTGAGGGTGTTCTTAAGCCTCCTATCAGATCTAGTTCTAAGAAAGGGTGAATAAACTATGAAACTAGGAATATCCTTCAATCCCCAAAAGTTTACCTAGTCTCAGACAAGTCACTGAGCAAAATATTCATTTAGGTGAGATAGCAAGTGGGAACGGAGGAGGAGGAAGGGCAAATAGATGGAAACCGTGCACCTAATGCTTGCGCATTGCACCATGCTCCCGCAACTAGTTACCCTATGATAGTGCAGATTAAGATGCCCAAAGCTGAAGGATGACAGAAGCACTGAAGTGTGTAACTGGGTTCTGTAAGACAGCTATGAGCTTTGTCTCTCCTCATGTTTCTCACTACCCTGTCCTTTAGTACTGTGGTCTTCCACTGCACTCTGTGTTGGCTCCTCGGTCTCAGAGGAGGCAGGTGTGTGACACTGCTCAAGCTGTAAGAGTTCCTGAGGGTAAAACAGGACATGTCTGAATAGCTATGCTACCTTTGTTTGCTGTTTTTATTTCCGGACAGAAAATGGGTTACAATCTCTTCCTCCTGGCTTTTGTCCTGGGCATCGGTGGAGCTTTCCAGTATGGGTTGCAGGTCTCCATTATCAATTCTCCTGCTGAGGTAAGCATGGACAGCTCAAAAAATTGAGCTACCAGCGTGGAT